GCACTGTACCCAGTAGATATAAATTTACCAGCTTCCTCCTCCCCCCTCGCCCAGCTTGATTTCAAGATTTACTTCCATATGTACACTGAAGTGTTGGCCGTCAGTTCCAACCTGGTGTTGAGTACAGGTGTTTGTTTCTCCACTCTTGTGGTGTTTCACTTAGAAAAATGGTCTAGGTTGTCACAAAAGACACTAGGTCACTCTCTTTGTTTATGCCTGAGTAGTACTCCACTGTACACTATTTGGAGTATAACATTTGTTAATCCATTCATGTACTGGTGGGCACTTGGGTTCTTTCTATGTCTTTGTGATTGTGAATTGTGCTACTATAAACATTTGAGTGTTGTCCTTTGTATAAAATGACCTTTTTCCCTTTGGGTATATACCCAGCAGTGGGATTCTGGATCAAATGTAGGTCTTTTTTAAGTTCTTTGAAGTATCTCCATACAATTTTCCATAAAGTTTGTACTAGTTTGCAGTCCCACCAATAGAGTATAAGAGTTCCTTTCTTACCACATCCTACCAACTTCTGTTGTTTGGGGACTTTATAATATGAGCCATTCTCATTGGAGTTAGGTGATATCTCATTGTGGTTTTGATTTGCATTTTCCTAATGATTAGAGATGTTGAACATTTTTCATGAATCTGTTGGCCCTTAGATTGTCTTTTGCCAATGGATTTTTGATGAATACTTATACTTTTCTTCTTAATGTTTCTCTTTGCGGGGGGTGGGGGGGAGCCTGCTCTGCATCTTCCTTTGAACTAAATATTTTGCATGCATTTTCTTACCAATGAGGAAACCAATGAGGTAAGTTGACACAAATTAAGCAATTATGAAAATCAGCTACATAGTTAATAAGCAGCTGAACCAAAATTAAAACTCAGGTCTCTCTGATATTCCAAAATAACCACTGACTACCACACCATATGCCTCACAAAAGAGCCAGACCTATTTGTAGACTGTAACTTATTTCTTTTTAAAGAAAGACAAGAAAAAAATATTTTAATATCACTCCTACAGGTGTCATTACACCAACATACTAGGCTCTGTTAAGATAATGATACAAGTCATAAGGCTGGAAAATTCACTGAATCACATTAGTCTTCTAAGCTTGTGTTTCAAGATGTATTTCCCTTGGAACTGACTGCCTGTATTAAAATCACATAGGAAAATCTGTCTTCTCTGAAAAAAGCAGGATTCAGTTGCACAAGATAAACAGAGTTTTTAACAAATATATTTTTTAAATACTTTAAAAAAGAGTATAATAACCATAAATTAAATCATAATCAAACCACCTCCCTCTACATTCACATACAATACAGATATGAGACTATATAATTCCTCAAACTCACTCCCACTGTTTTTTTAATTATAGTTTGAAATTAGCTATAGGGAACTGGCAGAAGGGGGCATTTTAAACTGTCCTTACTGATAGACCATCTAGCCACTTTAAATACTTTATTTTAAAAAAAGATCAACAAAAACCTATAAACCCATAATACAGGTCTTTTTCTATATGATGTGATACCTTCTTTTGCTTCAAATCTCAGAAGGTAGGCCAGGCCTGTGGCCCACACCCCTAATCATAGCACTTTCGGAGGCCTAGACGGGAAGATCCCTTGAAACCAGAAATTCAAGACCATCCAGGGCAATAGTAAAACCTCCTCTTTACAAAAAAGTTTTTTTAAAAATTAGCCTAGTGTGGTGTCATGTGCCTGTAGATCCAGATACTGGAAAGGCTGAGGCAGGAGTCGCCTGAGCCCAGGTGTTGGAGGTTGCAGTGTGCTATGATGATACCATGGCATTCTAGGCTGGACCACAGAGTGAGACCCAGTCTCAATAAAGAAAGAAATAATTAAATAAAAACTCAGAAAGTAGTTAAATGACACTTTGAGCAGTTCTTCTTTTATATACAAGGTCGTTCTTTTATATCCAAGCATCTTCAGAAATACTCGCAGGAAAGGGTTTGACAGGACACTAGTGTTCACACTGGTATTTTCTGCTCTGGCCTGTGCGTACCTTCATCCATGTAAACTCACATTCCCATGTATAAAGCTAATGTTCATGCTGATAACTAACTTAAATTAAATGCCATATTATACATTTTCTAAAATATGCTACTGGAAACAAAGTTTTTCATTTTTGTGGAATAGGTTTCATTTTAATATTTTTTTAATCATTTAGCTCAAAGTGTGGATTTTCCAGAGTATCCTCCATCTCCAAATTTTATCCGTGGTTATAACCATGCTTCTGGCTTTGTATGTTCACCTCTGAAAGAGTAAGTGTTATTTGTACTTAAATTTATTTTAACAGATTTTTCTTTTAGTTCAATTTGGGATTGAGTTAGGATTTCTGGTTCATCCGTAGACAGACAAATGTACCAGCATATTCTGTTTGGGAAATAAAAACCGCCCCTGAATGTGACTTTTAAAATTACTTTTTATAATTGTTTTCATCTTAAGTATAATCAGAATAGATATTTCCCTATAAAGTAGAATTTGAGGTTTCTGAGAATAGTCAAGCACACATTTTCCTGCAGTTAAACCTTCCTAATGCTTTATATTTCTCCATTAGAGTCACTTTTACAAATTATTAAGGAACTTTTGTGAATTAAAAATATATTTCCCTAGAATTATAACACATATTTATTAGTAATGATGCTTTGCCTGGAATGAATTCTTGCTAATGGACTACCTGCTAGGAGCAGATAACCTGCAGAAGGAGACACCTGATGGTACGTTCACCTCAGAAGAAAGCTGGGAAGTCAGAGATGAGCCACTGCCTGAAGGTGGCCAGCCTGGGGATAAAATGGCAACAGAAAGTACATATTTTCTGTAAAAGTACATACTCTCATTCAGTGGTTCTCAACCTGTGTGTCATGACCCACAGGAACTGTATTAAAGGGCCACGCATTAGGAAGACTGAGAACCACTGCTCTAATTCATTATATATCATTTCACAAATTCCTTTCGTTTTAATTTCTGCTAAATGATATTTTTATCAGGTAAAATATATGGCATGTGAAAATAGATATAAATAAAACTTTGTATTGGTCAAATATAAACCTTTTAGTACAAGAAAAAAAATGTCAAGAAAGCTAAAATGAAATTAAAGTTTAGACCAGTATTTCTTAATGTTTTCTGTACTGAATTAGAGAACTGAAAAGCTTCACATTTGTCCACAGTAATGGATAGGACCACTGGTGCTGTAACAGTAATAACAATGCATGGACAAATAACAACCCATTTGTCAATTTTGAATCTATGGCCAAGACATTATTTTCCATAGCAAATGTTCTCAAAACCACTAGAGGGTTTCAGCTTAGGTCGGATTGTTTTTGGCACAGAATAAACAATTTTTGAGAGGATGAGGATTACCAAGGAAGAAAGGATATTTTAATATGGAAGTCATGTTGTAAAGAGAATCAGAGAAATCCCTCTCGCCCATCTAAGGAAGAATAAGAGCTTTTTAAAGAGGAGAAAATAACAAGAGACAGGGTGTCTATAAATAAATTAACAAGAGTCTAAGTTCTCAGGGATGGTGAGTCCTGGCTCAGGAAGTCTGCCCAGGTGCCTTTGCAATCTCAACTCCTTTGTCTTGCAGAAATTCTGCCATTTCTGAGAAACAACTCAAAAAGTTCAAGTAGTTAGTTAGGGAGAGGATTATTAAAAAAAAAAAAAAAAAAACTTAGAAGGGTCATTGAATTTGTTCATGGAGCCAGTTACAAAAAGGATCATTACTCCAAATCAGCAAGGTAATCAGGGGCTGGCAGAGACTAGGTGGGAAATGACACCCATTTAGTGTGCTTCACAGGCCAGGGGCTTTCCTATACTTTGCCAGCTGTAGAAGTCCTCTCCAGTAACTACTGGAAAGGCTTTCTTTTGTGTAAAGCCTTCTGCAATTAAGAGCAGAAGTTCTTCCTTAATCAGTGTAGGATACATTCTAAGACCTTCAATGGATGCCTAGAACTGCAAATGGTACCAAGCCATACATACTGTATACTCTGTTTCTTCAGTATGGTAACGGAAAGGGCTACTACTAAGGAAGTCATTTACAGGTAGTCATTTATATAGAATGTGAACATCCTAGGGAAAGGGATTATTCCCATCCTGGGTGGGAGTGAGCAGGATGGCGCAAGATTTCATCACACTACCTAGAATGATATACAATTTAAAACCTAAGAATATTTTATTTCTGGAATTTTCCACTCAATATATTATACCGTGGGTCGACTGTGAGTAAATCAAACTGCAAAAGTGGAACAGAGTATAAGGAAGGACTACTGCGTTCTCGAAATGTTACCAGACGAAGAGGGTCTGGCCGCCTCCAGATGAAGGGGGTCTGGCTGCCTGTCACCATCAGCCAATATGCAGAGACGGGATAGGTCCACCAGACTTTATTTGTTAGAGGCTGGGATTCTAGAGAACAGTGAGAGTAGCCTCTCCAAGACTGTTCTGTTCTTCCATTTCCAACATTACAGTTTTATACATAAAAATTCAGAGCAAAGACCACCATACTAACCCCTATTCCAAATAATAATCAGCATTAACTCAATGACTTATTACAATATTCCTGTTCAAAAGTTAATCTCCGAAATCAATCCACCTAAAATACTTAAGATAGGCATCTTTAGAGTGGGAACTAAATTTACAAAACAGTAAAAACGGGAGACAGGGAGTGAAGGTGAGGGAGCATCGACACAGACCAGACCAGCTGTGTTAGGTCTGGCCTGCCTACCAGACTCCATCTTATTCTCACTATCTCTGCTTCCAAATCCAACCAGTTGAGACACTATAAAAATAGTCTAAATTCTGCACAGACAAGAGGATAAAAAAGTGCACACTCAATATTGGTTCAGTAGTCTTTATACCCCTTAAAAGGATTTTATAAAACTGCTTTCCCCTTGAACATTTTTCATTTGCCATAAAAATTTTTCATAGGATTAAACTGATGAAAAGGAAACAGTTTTCAGCATCTAACAAATATTGCCTTTTTAAAAAAAAATGGCTATATCATCCAATCATCAGTAGAGCCCAAATGTTTTGACAACTTGAAACCCACTATGACATTATCCATTAAAACCTACAACCTTTCCTTTTAACATTCAGAAATTTTACATCATTCCTTTCTCCTTGAACTCACGTTATTATTCCCCTCACATAATTTTATTCTAACAGATATATTTTATGTTTTGCATTCTTTTTTAATCACCCTATCATAATTCTCTACAAAAATAATACGTATTTAAGTTTTTAAATTTGTTTTATTTCCCGTGACCACAATATCTAAGAACAAAAAATATATATGTCTTCTGGACTAAGTTGTTATTACACACTGATGAAAATTTTTAAAATTACAAATTTTGTTACATAATACAAATTGTTACTAGAAACCTCTTTCTTTATTAGAAAAAGTAAAATATCAATTGCTATGTACCAGGTATTGTTATAAACACTTTGCATATTAACTCATTTGATTCTCAAAGTAGTTGGCAGAGGCAGAAAAGAAAATGGAAGCCCAGAGAGCTTAAGTAACTTTTCCAAGGTTGCATGTGGGTAACAGCAAAACTCAGTTTCAAACCAAGGCAGACTGGCTCCTGCGTCCATGCTTCTAACCATTATCCTCATTTCATTTAACTGTGGACAGGAAAATAATGAAATGAGAGAGAGCATGCAATATCAATTCTACTCCTATTTTTCAGTTTATAAGTATTAGAAGTGAGAAAATATATTCACAGAAATAAGTAGGTCAAAATGTAAAGACTATAATTCCAGCACTGTCATTCAAAGCCTTTAAACCTTTTGGAATTATATTCCACAAATTACATAGTAACTAACCTATTATCAAAAAGTATTTTAAATGACCTATCAGCTGACAGCTCAATTACTTCCTTAAATTTTATTGAAAGAAAAGAATTGGCATGACTTGGGAAAGGATTTATTATCCAGTCATTAAGTATTCACTTTTTCAACTCTCTTCTAATAGATCGGATTTTTTCTTTAGCAGCTCAAAGATTTTTACATGCCAGGGTAGAGCACTATTCAGTATTAACTAGTCAGAGGACAGGTATGCCTTTGTTCTGTAAAGCAAAAGCAGGGTAACTGTGAGCAGACTGATGGGAAAGAAAAAGCCCACCTCTCCATCAGGGACATGTTCTCAGATCAGGTTAAGGGAAAAATCCATATTGAAACAGGAAGTTGAAAACTTACTCCCTTAAAGGTATTCGTCCTCCAGTACCTCAATTTGAAGACCACTGGGTTAGAAACATAAATTACTAGTCTTCTTAGAGAACAATTGAGAAATAGCATGCCAAGTGTTAGATGCACAAACCTTTGACCTAGATAGTCTATATAAGTATTTATAAAGGTACAAATGGATATATAATATGTTTATTATAGTTTTATTTACACTATAAAAAATGAGAAACAAACTAAATGACAGTCAAGAAAAGGACTATTAAATAGAGTATGACATACCGTACAAAGAAAACAATTAAGCAGATTTGTATGTATACACAGAAGTGTCTGATATCCTATTAAGAAGAGAATAAAACTAATTGCAGCAAAATATATCTCACTTTTTAAAAAACTGTATATGTTTATGAG